GGAGTGAAATCAGATCCAAAAAGATGATACTGGCTGCTCTTCCAAAGGACCCAGGTTCAATTCCCAGCACCCACATAGCAACTCCAGTTCTAGAAGATCCGATGCCCTCACACAGACAGACATACATGCAGGTGAAACACTAATATTCATAAAATAAAAATAATTTTATGGATCTCTGTGAGATCGAGACCAGCCTGGTCTACAAGAGCTAGTTCCAAGACAGCCTCCAAAGCCACAGAGAAACCCTGTCTTCGGAAGGCTGTGCGCCTTCTCTGTATAGGGCTTGGCTTGAGTGTGCGAGGCACTTCGGGTGATGCAAGCCCATGAGGCATTGCGGGCGATGCCACAATGTTGCAACGCTGGTAGAGCACCATACCAGCCACTAGATAACACAACAGAATGAGCGTGGCTGAGTGCCAATAAAACTTTATTTGTGGACACCAAAGTTTGAATTCATATAATTTTCAGTATCAATTAATGGGAGCCTTCTTTGATTTTTTTTTCCTCTCTAGCTATTTAAACCTGGAAAACTCATTCTTAGCTTGTGAGCCACAGGCAGTGAGGTGAACTGGTCCCCCATCCAAAGTGTGCCACTCTCTCTTTTATAGGACCCTACGTTCCACTGGCATGAGCAGTCCTAAGCCACCAACCAGGGAGCCGCCCCCAAATTCCTAACCTCAGATACCAAGTAAGAGAATCAGTGGGGCTAGGTTTCCAGGCAGCTTGTTATGCAGCAATAGATAACCAATACATCCTTAGGCAGGATGAGAAAGCCAGACCAAATATGCGTTATCGGCCGGGCGTTGGTGGCGCATGCCTTTAATCCCAGCACTCGGGAGGCAGAGGCAGGCGGATCTCTCTGAGTTCGAGACCAGCCTTGACTACCAAGTGAGTTCCAGGACAGCCTCCAAAGCCATAGAGAAACCCTGTCTCGAAAAACCAAAAAAAAAAAAATGCGTTATCTACAACATTTTGCTGAATGTGGTGTACACCCACAATCCCAGTGCTCTAGAGACCGAGGCGGGCGGGGGGGGGGCTGGAGGGGTGAGGGGGGATTGAAAAGGACTACTTCGAGGTTAGGAATGGGACGAAGTAGGTAGAGCGCTTGCTTTCTGGCATGCATAAAAGTCTAGGCTCTATCTCCATCACTGAATAAAACTGGGCACGGTGGCACACACCTATAGTGCCAGGACTCAGGTGGTAGAGGCAGGAGGATCAGAAGTTCAAGGTCATCTTCAACTGCGTGAGTTTGGGGATACATGAAACCATCTTTTTGTTTTGTTTTGGCTTTTTTTGTTTTTTTTTTTTTTGGTTTATCGAGACAGGGTTTCTCTGTATTGTTTTGGAGGCTGTCCTGGAACTCACTCTGTAGACCAGGCTGGCCTCGAACTCACAGAGATCCGCCTGCCTCTGCCTCTCGAGTGCTGGGATTAAAGGCGTGCGCCACTACCTGAGTGCTGGGATCAAAGTTATGCAACCACCCCATCTGCTTGGGTTATCATTTTGAAAGAATTATTCTTTTTTTAAGATTTATTTATTTATTAATACAACATCCTGCTTCCATGTATGTCTGCACGCCAGAAGAGGGCACCAGATCTCATTACAGATGGTTGTGAGCCACCAATGTGGTTCCTGGGACTTGAACTCAGGACCTCTGGAAGAGCAGTCAGTGCTCTTAACCTCTGAGCCATCTCTCCAGCCCCGAAAGAATTATTCTTATGGGAGCTGGAGAGATGGCTCAGTGGTTAAGAGCCGGGGCTGTTCTTCCAGAGGAAGAACCAACTCAGGTCATCTACAAGAGCACCAAAGGCTCCTAACCACTGAGCTACCCTTGCAGTCCCTCTGAGAGATATCTTCACAAAAGCACTTAAAACTAAGTACTTAGCACAAGTAAATAAGAATCAACTTGTTGATCCAGGTGTGATGGCACACGCCTTTATTCCCAGCACCCACATCTGAGTTCAATCCCAGACTGATCTATGTGGCAGGTTCCAGACCAGCCAGAGGCTACAATGAAACCCTGCCTCCAAAACAATAAATAAATGGCAATTCATTCGTTGAGGACTATGGACGATTGCTTAGGGATTAAGGTACCTAGATGATGAAGATAATCAGAGAACTGGTTTCCAGAACCCACATAAAAGATGGACATGTTTGCCAAGCCTCCTATTAAAAGGCAGATAGATACCAGATCCTCAAAGGAAGCTGATTTCCCTCCCGGCAAAGAGATCAGGTTTTTCTGAGACCTATCCAATTAATAAACTGAAGACTCATAGAGGAACATTCCTTTTGTTTTGTTTTGGTTTTTGTTTTTTGAGACAGGGTTTCTCTGTTTGCCCTGACTGTCCTGGAACTCGCTCTGTAGACCAGGCTGACCTCGAACTCACAGAGATCCACCTGCTTCTGTGTCCTGAGTGCTGAGATTAAAGGTGTGAGCCCCCACCGGCCAGCCCAAGGAAGATTCTTGACTTCAAGCTCGACCTTTATGCCTGCACAAAACGTGTACCCAGGCACACAGGAAGACGCACTCCCAGCACTCAGGAGGCAGAGGCAGGTGGATCTCTGTGTGTTCGAGGCCAGCCTGGTCTACAGAGCGAGTTCCAGGACAGTCAGGGCAACACAGAGAAACCCTGTCTAGAAAAACAAAATAAATAAATAAATTTAATTGTAAATAAAGAATTGACTCAGCACTATGTTCATAGCAACATTATTTGTAATAGCAACCTAGATGCCCCTCAACCGAAGAGTGGATAGAAAAAGTGTGGTACATTTACACAATGGAGTACTATTCAGAAGAAAAAAAAACAATGGAATCCTGAAATTTGCAGGCAAATGGATGGCACTAGAAGAAACCATCCTGAGTGAGGTAACCCAGTCACAAAAAGAGAAACATGGCATGTACTCTCTCATATATGGAATTTAGACATAGATCTGGGGAGTGCCCGCCTACAATCCCATGGCCAGAGAGTCTGGGAAACAGAACCTTCATTCAGTGGCTGATGGAAGAAGAGACAGACTCCCATGGCTAAACACTGAGCTGAACTCAAGAAAGCCAGTAACAGAGAGGGAGGACTGATGATCAAAGGAGTTAAGACTGGGCTGGTTTAACCCCAGAAACAGCTGACCTGACAAAGGTTAACTCTTGAATCCCAGGCTGATGCCTGGGAATCCAGCATGGGACTGATCAAGATCCCCTGAATGTGGGCATCAGTGAGGAGGCCTAGGAAATCTATTGAGCCTTGGGTAGTAGATCAGCATTTATCGCGGGTATACAAATGGTCTTTGGGCTCCCATCCCATCCAACAATGAGAGATGCACTCTCACCCTGGAATCTTGGGGGAGGGTCTAGGCCCTGCCCTGGATAAAATGACAGACTATGGACACCCCCATTGAGGGCCTCACCCTCCCTGGGGAAATAAGGGGATATTGGGGGATTGGTGGGAGGGCGTGGGAGGTGGGGAGGGAAAGGGAGAGTGACCTGGAATTGACATGTGAAGCAACCTTTTTCTAATTTAAATTTAAAAATAAAAATAAAATAATTTAAAAAAAAAGAATTGACTCAGAACACTGCCTCCGTGGACGGGGGGGAGGGGGGTCCAGAAATTCATTTCTACCACTAGGGGCGCCCTCTTTAGCTCGGCCTCTGGGTATTCAGGGCACGGGCAAGGCGAGGGGTCTCCAGCAGAAGATCCCAGGGGCAGATACCCTGGGTGGAGGAAGAACAAAGTCCTGGGGATCCTGCCCCCAGGTCCCCCCACTGAGGCCACAGAGATGCAGGCGAGTTTCCTGTGCTCGCGTTGATCCGGGTGACAAGGCGGACGATGGCCGCTAGGGGGCGCTGTCGCTTGTGCTCTTGGCTTGGGCACAAACCTACGGCCTGTCCTTCTTGGGCGTGTCTCCAGAAGAATGTTCTGGAAAGAGAGGCAGCTTGGAGCAAGTTCTCCTTGGTCTCCAGTGAGAAGCACCGCGTCTGGTGCCACCCCGACGGAGCCTGAAAATCAACCCAGGCTGGCCGCGCCAGTCACCCGGTCCCCGTCGCCAAAACCGCTGATCTATGGCAGGGCCGGGGTCGGGATCCTCGGGTCAGGACCGCAGGACCTGTGTCCCAGGGGCGCACGGCCGCGACGGGGACCCAGCCCGGCCCGCGCCGCCCCGCCCGGCCCGGAGTATCATCTGCTGAAGACATCGCGTCTGCCTCGGGGATGCGCGAGTAGGGACCTGTCCCGACGCTGGGCGCGGCTCCCAGCTGGGTACCACCCAGTGGGATGCCCACCCCCGCCCGCCCAGGCCCGCCCAGGCGCCTCCGGGGCTCTGAAAGTTTGGGACGCCCAAATAAGAGAGACAAACTCCTCTTTTCTGAGTTTTCAAATTTTGTTTTTGTCGGTTTTTTGGCAGAAGTATCCCAGGCTCGCCTCAGCCCCCAGAGTTCTGCAACAGGCATGAGCCACCATGCCCAGCATTTCCCCCTTTTCAAAAGGAAGCATTTTGGTGACCTTTGTAAAGATGACACAGTGTCACAAAGCGGTACCTCCAAATGCCAGCAGGCCGCCCGGGACACAACGGCTTGCTGATGCTCTTGTTTGTGTTAGACCTGAGTTCGGTTCTTAGCACCCACAACTGCTTGTAACAACACCTCCAAGGAAAATGACATCCTTTTCACTCATGCACAAATACTCCACACAGACACAGTTTCTAAATAGTTACAATTGATGTGGGACGCACCCCCCCCCATCTCTGCCAGCATTTGAGAGCTGAGGCAAGGGAATGCCATTTGAGGCCAGCCTGGGCTACACAAACTATTTTTTTACCCTTCCCCCACCAAAACCACCACCTGGGAGATGCTCAGCTACCTCCTTGGCTTGCAGGTTGAGGCTCGCTTTGACCCTGGGTCCCTATGCTTTTCTCTGAGCCTCAGTTTCTTCGGCTATACATAAAGGACACAGACACAGTCAGGAACTACAGCTACACTTTATTCGCCATCCACAGACCCCCCACCCCCCACTCTGCGGTCCTTCCCCCACGGCACCGCCCTCGGCTCAGAAGACATTCACCGAATGCAGCTGCACGTCTCCGCCCACCTCCACCAAGCGCACGCGCGCGGGTGGCATCCGGTGCTGGAAGTGGAGGTACTCCTTATCCCCGACCACCGCCTGCAGGGTGAAAGCTTAAGTCAGGCCTGTGGATGCGGAGCGCGGTCTGTGGCCCTGGAAGGCGCTATCCACAGCGAGCTTCCCTCTCCGCAGAGGGAAAAATGGCTCTGTTGTCCATGGGACACAGCGAGTGTAGAGCCACACAGTACAAAGGTGTTCCTCAGTGTGGACGGCCGATGTCACGACCACTATTTATTTGAGCGCCCGTTCCTATGGCGGCGGGTATTGAAGGTGGTGAGTGGTGTGGGAGAGCGGCCTCATCCACGATCCCACCATCCCGCGATCTGATATTGGATGTTGGTCTCAGAGCAACAGGGAGGCGAGTCTGTGTTCACAACACCCTGCGAGGACACCCACCCGCCCCTTGGGCACTCGGCTCTTGATCACTCAGGTCTTGTTAAGGGCAGACCAGGAGAGAGGCCCTGGACCGCGGTTCCCGCACCCCATCCCCTCCACCCTCCCCTGCACCCCATCCCCTCCACCCTCCCCCGCACCCCATCCCCTCCACCCTCCCCCGCACCATCCCCAACACTCCGCTCTAGACCTGGATCTGACCGTTCCCTTTCAACGACACACCTTGAAGCCTTCCTCTGTGGTTATGATGAGCACCTCAAAGGGCTGCCCGCGCTGGAAGGGGATGCCCGAGCCGCGCTCCTCACGGCCCCATTTGCCTTGCTCTTTGGTGTTGAAGACCACCTCGGATGTGTCGAGCCTCGGGTTAAAGTGCAGGGCGGCATCCGCTTCCTGCTCCTCGCTGCACAGCAGGTTTATATGGAACCTGCCAGGGACAGTAGGCCTCAGAGATCAGCAATCCCCGTGCCCGGACAGAAACCCACCAACGCAGAGTCCCTGTGTTTATAGCCGGGATCCCCTCACTTCCAGACTCTGGCATTGTCCTGAAGTTCCAGATTTCAGGGAATCCCACCCGAGATGAGCAGGCCGGGTAGCATGGGCCCTATTATTCCAGCTTACCAATACTCCCACAAAGTCCGAGGTCCCAATTTTAGTAGACCATGGGTTGATGACCAGGTACCCTGGGCATCCAGGGTGGCAGCAAGACCCAAGGCAGATTTTCAGGCTCCCGAAAGCTGAGACATGGGATTCTTAGGGCTAATCAAGGATTCTTGAGGTTGCCCTAGAACCCTAAATTGTTTGGGAGACCAGGGCACCCGCCTATGAAGTCTTGGGGAATGTCAACGAATACATCCAAATTAAGGTAGCAACAAGGAATCAAAGACCCCACTTGAAGCAGGAGAGCCCCCGCTCTTTTCCCTGGAACCCAGGATGTCACCTGCCAGCCTGTTCAGGGACAACACCTCGAATTCTCATGACAGTGCCCGTGCGGACGCCCTGAAGCAGGGGGGTCTTGTTGTTGGTGGCCTGAAAGATTTGGGTGGGGCAGGCATGAGAACCAGGGAGACAGAGAAACAGATGAGTCAGCCCCAGCTACGAACTCCAGGGATGGGGCAGAACACACGAGGGAGTGGGGGTTGGAGGAGAGGCAGAGCCCGAACACACGCACGCACAAACGGGGACAGAAACAGTTGCGGGAAAGGGAAGCTACCGGGGTCTGCTGGCGAGACCCAAGAGACCCGGCAGCAACCAGTTGTCCTGGCACTGTTATTTTGGCTTTGCAGGGGAGGTTTCCGGCAGGCCTGGCCTCTGACCTGTCCCACCCTGGCCCCAGCTCCCCCAGCCTCACGATACTTACGCTTCCTGCCATGACCGATACAGCGACGCAGAAGCAATGAGGCCGGGCGCTGCGGGAGGGGACCTTAAGTAAAAGCAAAAAGGGGTGGTTCAGCTCCACCCTTCCCATCCAACACCCACACCTGGCACAGACCCCGGCCCTAAGGGCAAATCTGTTAAGGCTGGGCCAGTCTCCTCCTGCCTCGCCCCCACATCAGCCGGGGGTGCGGCTGTCTTCCCCCTTTCCTAGGCTTGTAGAGTAGGGGCATCCTTCAACACCAAGGCTGGAGAGGTTCTCTCTGTACTGCCCCCCACCCCGCGCCCCACCCGGGACAGGATTTCCCTGCGTTCAGAAATGCCCGTCAAGCCAAAGCTGCCACTAACCCTTTTCCAGAGGGAGCCTCCTCCCAAGAACCCAGCCCAACTAAGTCTACCTCTGCCATTGGTGGCAGGCATGATAGCTGAATGGTATTTACTGGGACCCCCAGGACACTCATTGTCTCTGCTTCTCCTACGCTGGGCCCAGGGTTACCAGAGTGTTAGCTATGTCTGGCACATTCCAAGTGCCCAGTGATGGGGGCAAGGCAAAGAAGGCACGCTTAACAGTGGCCCTGCCGAGGCCTCTGGGTGTCCAGATGTGTGCATGTCAGAAACCCCGAGTCACACAGAGAGCAGCCTCCCTGAAGCTCTCACACGCAGCGGAGCCGTGTGCCCAAAGATCACACCACCACAGGCCAGGTAGTCTCCAGGCGGCTGCCTCTCAGTGGTTTTTCTGACTTGTGTCTCCATCCCCGATAGCCCGTCTGTCCTCCTTTTCCTCCCACGTCTCCAGCAGAGATTCTCAACTGAGCCGATCTCCCCACCCAGCTAGGGTGACATGGGATATGGCCTGGTGGGTGTCCCAGCCCCCAGTCACCACCCAGATAAACTAAACGTAACGGGGACACTGTTAAGGGCCGGAGTTTCAGCCTCCAGGACTCCAGAGAAAGTGTGGGGGAGATCAGAAAGGATGAAAAAAGAAGTTTCTAGAAGGCAGTCAGAGGGAGGGTGGGAATGCCGAGCAATTGCTGATCCTAATAGCCCAGCCGCCTTCCCATCCCTACCCCCACCACCCTACTCCTGCCCCAGGCACCAGATGGTAAAGCCCTGGGCCAGATGCATGCTGGGAACAGAAAGTTGGGGTGGAGACTGCTTCCTTTCTTGTTCCCCTGCCCCAGTATCCCAGATTCCCGTCCCATCCCCGGAACGCGTTATCAAGGGCTCCCACGTGGAGGTCCAGAGGGGGAGCAGAAGACGCCAAAAGAGGTGGGGTCTGCAATGCTGTGGGGGCCCCACGCCCCCTTTTATGTAGGAGAAAACCTGGAAATGAGTGTGGACGCAGAGGCAAGAGAGTCAGCTGAAAGTCATCCCTGGCTTCATACTGAGTTTGGAGCCAGCACAGGCTGCACAGGACTGTCTCAAAAAAAAACGGCAACTGCCGGGCATGGTGGCGCACGCCTGTAATCTCAGCACCCGGGAGGCAGAAGCAGGTGGATCTCTACGAATCAGAGGCCAGCCTGCTCTATATATTGGGCTCTGACATAGCCAGGGCTACATAGAGAGACCCTGTCTCAAAAACCAAACAAAACAACAACAACGCAAACAGACAACAGCTGGAGAGATTCCTCGGTGGTTAAAATTATGGCTGCTGTTGCAGAAAACCCTAGTTCAGTTCCCAGGGGTCCTCGGCGCTGCTTGTAACTCCAGGTCCAGGGGATCTGACACCCTCTTCTGGCCTCATCAGGCACACACACATGTGTGGCATACACACACGTATGCACAATTTAAATTTTAAAACAAACAAGAAACCTTGGGTTAGGGAGGAACATCTGAGAATTGGTTCTGAAGGTTTTAACCTGGGATTTTATAGGACAAGGACACATCAGAGGGCTGAACCAGAGGACATCAGGTTTCATGTTACACCACCATCCACTTGTCACAATTAAGCCGAAAATTGTGGCTTCTCCTATTCCAGCTTCATGCTCTGTATAAGGCACTGTCTGCACCTCATCCTGTTTGTTGTTGCTGGTTCCCACGGACTGGCCTTTCATTTCTTCATCAGGGTTGGATATGAGTTCACTCACAGCAAGTCACAGGTCTGGACTTGCCCTGGGTGATTGGCGAAACACTTGCGTTCAATCCTTTATCGGTTCCTATCTTTTTCTTTTCTGGGAACTGAGACACTTTGAGTCCTTGACTGATTCCTGTTTGACTGTCTCAGGGATCTTTGCCGTAAATGCTGAATAATAGCCACTTGAACATATTTTTTTTCATTTCTAATTCATTAGTGGATGTATTTATTTCCTAGGACTCATTTTTACAGAGATAAATATGGATTAAGAAAGATGTTAAAGCCGGGTGGTAGTGGCGCATGCCTTTCATCCCAGTACTTGGGAGGCAGAGGCAGGTGGATCTCTGTGAGTTCGAGGCCAGCCTGGTCTACAAGAGCGAGTTCCAAGACAGCCTCCAAAACAATACAGAGAAACCCTGTCTTGAAAAAAAAAACAAAAAAATGAATGATATTGATGATTTGTTGAAAAGCTAAACTTTAAAGACTTTATTTTGATTTAAGTGTGTGTGTTGGGGGCTATATGCATGTGAGTATAGTTTCCAGGAAGACCAAAAGAGGGTGTTAGATCCCCTGAAGCTGGAATTACAGGTGCTTGTGAGCCACCTGACATGATGATTTGTTTTGTTTTGTTTTGTTTTGTTTTTTGAGACAAGGTTTCTCTGTAGCTTTGCAGCTTGTCCTGGAACTCCCTCTGTAAACAAGGCTGGTCTTGAACTCACGGAGATCTGTCTGTATCTGCCTCCCAAGTGCTGGGATTAAAGACGTGCGCCCCCACTGCCAGGCTCACCTGCATGAATTTTATTTGTTTTGTCTGCATGTATGTATGTATGTGTACCATGTGCATGAGTACCCAAAGAGGGCGTCAGATCTCCCAGAACTTCGGTTACAGACAGTTGTGAGCTACTTGTGGGTGCTGGGAACAGAACCGAGGTCCTCTGGAGGAGCAGCCAGTGCTCTTAACCACTGAGCCATCTGTCCAGCCTCCTTCTTTCTTTTTAGACGAAGTCTCCCTATGTAGTCCAGGCTGGCCGGAAACTCTTCTCTCAACCTCTCAACCCCGCTGCTGAGATTATAGGTTATAGCCACTGCACCTGTGTGAAAGCTAATGATTCTAATGATAACTGTAGTGAATTGAACACTCGGGTCTCTGCTGAGGGCAAGCCTTTTCTTGTAGTGCTCAGCTCCATTTATGAACTTATTTAATTAAATGCTCTTAATTATTTTAAGCTGAGAGTATGATTTTTACAAGGCATTTCTTTTTCAGTGTTTTAATTGTGTAGTGAGCATTTCTGGGTCATAAAGTAGGTCTTATAAAATTCAAGGCCTGATAATAAAATGCACTGGGTTGCTTTCGCCTCTGACTTACCGTCTTTTCTGCCCCTTACCAAGTCTACTGTACAGACCAGGCTGGTCTAGAACCCACAGATATCTGCCTGCCTCTGGTTACTGAGTGTTGTGATCAAAGACATGTACCACGAGATGTGGCAACCCACCTAGGTTTTGGAGACAGCCTGGGGTGCTGAGGGTGGGTTATGGAAGTCCACGAACGCCCGAATAAAAGAATAACAGATATTTATTTGGGGAGCACTCACGCATTGAAGGTAAACGGCACCGGATGCTGCAATGCAGAATGCTCAGATCACCACCCGAGAGCAGGAGCAAGGCCCCTCCTCCTTATAAGGGATCACATCCCCACACTGAAGCCACACCCTAAGGCTGGTGGAACAAGAAGCCACTACAGTCACCTAGCCAGGGTACCTAGCCAGCAAACCCCAGGGAGCCATCTGTCTCCGGATTCCCAGGGCTGGGATTGCAAGCATGCTCTGCTGTGCATGGCTTTTCCTGTGGGAGCTGGGGACAAAACTCGTGTTCAGCAAGCATTTTACCAACTGAGCCATTTCCCCAGCTTCCCCAATGACAGCCCGAAGACTGTGACATGAGTTGGCTACCACTAGTTCCAGAGAGAGCCACCCGTCCTGGAGTGATTAACAGTGCTAATTGGGTGACTTACTCAAAGCTGTTTGTTTGGTTTCAGATTACAATAGAATTATAATATTTCTCCCTTTCCTTTCTTCCCTCCAAGCCCTCCCATATACCCCTCCCCGATTCTTTCAAATTCATGCCTTTCCCCCAATTTATATATGATATATGCATGTATATTTGAATACATATATATTCTTTTTTTTAAAGATTTATTTATTATGCATACAATGGTCTGTCTGCATGTAGGATGCATGCCAGAAGAGGGCGCCAGATCTCATCACAGATGCTTGTGAGCCACAATGTGATTGCTGGGACTTGAACTCAGGACCTCTGGAAGAGCAGCCAACACTCTTAACCGCTGAGCCATTTCTCCAGCCATATATATATATATATATATATATATATATATATATATATATCCCTACATAAATATAACCCTGTTCTGTCTATCTACTGTTACTTGTGCGTGTATTTTCAGGGCTGAGCATTTGGCTCTGGAAAACCAACGGTGTACTCTCCCCTGAGGAAGACCGCTCTCCCAATCTGAGCTGTCCTCAGCTGTCTGCAGTTCTTTGCTAGGGCTGAGGCCTTGTGACCTATCTGCTCTGGTGTGTCTATCAGCACTGTCTCTGTCCGGCTCACATTTGAGCAGTCATGCTGATAAGACTTTGTGGGTGTAGCTTCTGATGTTACCAGGAGACACGTTCTCACAGCAAACTCCCTGGTCCTCTGGCCGTCTTCCACCTCATCTTCTGCAATGCTCCCGGACCCTGAGGTGCAGGAGTGTTTTGTAGGCATATCCATCGGGACGGGGCTCCACAAGTATGCATTTTGACTGTTTGTGGTTTTCCGTAGTGATTTCTTTTTGTTTCAAAGAGACGTTTCCTGGTGAGGGATGAAGGCTCCGCTTCTCTGTGGGAACACGGACAAATGCTTGTAGATTGTTTTAGGGATTATGTTGGTTTAGTTTGATGGTTGTAGATTCTCCTCTGATAACCACAACATCATTATCATGAAGTACTCAGCTGGGTTTCTAGTGCTAGGCTTCCTTCTTGTTAAGCCAGCATTAAGTGCAATTAGAGAACCACTGGATACAGCCAAGGTGCGTGTGGTTCTACAGCACCCTTAGGACTACGGTACCATGGTTGTTGTGGTTCATAGGCGGTATGAGTTTTAAGATGAAGGAGACAGGGCCGGGCGGTGGTGGCGCACGCCTTTAATCCCAGCACTCGGGAGGCAGAGGCAGGCGGATCTCTGTGAGTTCGAGGCCAGCCTGGTCTACAGAGCGAGTTCCAGGACAGCCTCCAAAACTACACAGAGAAACCCTGTCTCGAAAAACCAAAAAAAAAAAAAAAAAAAAAAAAAAAAAAGATGAAGGAGACAGAAAAAAATGAGGGTATGGATGCCATGCTTTTACCCATACTTCAGTTACTTTGTAGGCCTGGGGAGGAGTTAGTGTATTTTAGTACTTGTTAAATTGAGAAGACCAGCCATCTAGAGCAGAAGCAGGAGGGTCACAGTTTGGATTATATGAGGAGATCTTCTCTCTCACATGTATACCTCAAAAAGATAAACGCCAACACTGAACCCTGAGCCACACAAAATTGCCTTGGGTGTCTGTTGCTGACTGTCCTGGGTGGGACAGTGGGAGCCCGTGAGAGACAGAATGGGGAGTTACATCACCTAACAATAACCCACGGAGACGGTGAGG